GACTTGTGCCGCGCGGCACGCCTCTAGCAAAAACACGGTCACCCCAAACCCTAACACAGAGGGCACGCTGGGGAATCTCGGGCAAATGCTGCAGGTCCAGAAATTGATGTGAGCTTCTTCCAACTTCGGTGTGCTACTGTCTCGATCTGCGGCACCTGAAGCTGCAAAACCCCAAACGAACATCCCCAAGTTTCAGAATGCAGGACAATGCAGGAACCGCTGATGGAGGTGCATAGAAAATCGGATCCCCGCCAGAATGGTCCCTAACCAGGTAATCCAACTTCAAAGAAGCACATGAGGCCCTGTAAGTGAAACTCTGGTTGAACCCCCTTAAACACAAGACTTCTTCACTCTTAGGAATTGTAGGGACCGAAAAAATTCCTAAACAGAAGCCATAAGGTTGGTGTATCCCATCATCCCTCTTCAAGAAAGCCAAGCAAGGCAGGGATAACCGGGATAACCCACCGAAAGGTTTACGCGCGGGGTGCGTTTCTGGTTCCTGAAATACTTGACCCTAGACACCCCCTAAACCTTCCAACTCTCCCTGAAACCCTAAACCCTAAACTCTAAACCCTAAACTCTCCCTCCGAAAGCTCTCCGTGCTCCGGGCGTTTGCAGAGTGTGTCGATCCAGGTGGCAGCACAGGGACGGTGCATCTGCCAGTCCAAGGCTTCTAGAAGCTGGCGCTCCTGAGGGCTTCGTTTCTTCTTTTTTGGGGCTCAAAAAGGGCTTCGTAGAAGGGCCCCTAATATGGTAAGGGCTGTTTCTTCTTTTTAGGATGCAAAAAGGGCTTCGTATAAGGGCCCCTATAATATGGTAAGGGCTTCCCGAGGGGCTTCATAAGGGGTCCATAGAAGGTCCAAGTGCGTCGGTTTTGTTGGGGGTTCCCAGGGTGTAAAGTTCGAGAGTTCAGGGTGACCTCAGAGGTCTGGGTTCAAGTGTGTGGGGCTTACTGCAGGGCTTAAGGACTGCCGAGTCCGCGGCTTGCTGTGTGTAGATTTTAAGAGTTATACATGGGATAAATGTTGGGACTGACGGCAGCTTGGGTTCTTTGGCCGACGGGGGCAAGTTTAGAACTTCAACTTCGAGGGCTTTACGATTTAGGGTTTTGCGGTTATGGGTTTAGGGCTTATAGTGTGACCGTTTGGGGTTTCCGCACACAACAACAACCTTAAAGCCGTAGGCCTTCAGCCCTGAAGCCCACAACCGAAATCCGGAAATTCCCTACACATACCAAACCGAAGTGAGGGAAGCAAGTACTGATTATCGTTATTGTAGTCTTCCAGTTTTTTCCGTTTCCAGAACGGAAAACAAAAACAGCAAAAGCACCTGAACCCTAAACCCTAAACCCTAAACCCTAAACCCTAAACCCTAAACCCTCCGAGCCTGCTGGTGGATCTGCTCTGCCATGACGGAAGGTACCGGCTCCTGCGGCCCCTGTGGCAGATCCAAGAGCAGTTTACTTGTTCAACGGAGCCCTAAACTCATGGTGCCAACCATAGTCTGCCTG